AATAGTGGTAATCAGGATAGGCATTTCAGTTGGGTTTGAATGATGACTGAGAAGGAACCATGGACAAGGAATGCAGCATGACAGCCACTTACTTTGTTCTTACAGACTGAGTTGGTGGACAATGTAGTTTAACACTTCTGACCATAAAAACCAATACTAATTTAAGGAAATCTGTATTTAGTAAAATGTCAGGAGTGGAAGATGTGTTGTTTCCCAGCTGAGCAGCCCATTTCACAGCTGGGTGAGCTGTACACTTCAGTTAACCAATGCAATGAAACCGGGCTTGTTTTGCAGATGTTGGTTCCGGTTCTTTAACCCTAGTCTCATGTAACTTCAGCAGCAGCTGACAATATCTCATTTTTCAAGGAAAAAAAAAAAGACAACACATTTGAAATGAGCAATCAGTGCTATTTATTTACTCAAGACTGCCCTACATTCTGAGTGGGTAAGAAGGGACTGGCGGGCAAGGCCTGTGTTGTCCACTTGGCTTGAAATGTCTGCAGCTGGCAGCACACTGTTCTGCTCTCACAGAACTGCCAGTGAGCGCTACTGAGATACAGAACTTCAGATGGGCAGTGCTGGCTGCTCACTCCTAACACGCAGCCCTGTGCCTGTGCAGCAGGAAGGTCCCACCAGCAGCTCTGGGGCTGGCTGGGAAATCCTGCGTGTGTTGGGGCTTCTGCAGTGAGGGCCTTGAAGTCAGCTTTGGTGACTGACTTCAAGGTGAAGCATCACAACCAGAATCTGAAATGTGTATTTCGGTGAGAAGGTGTTGCCAAAGTTTGTTCTTAGCTGGCAGTACCTCCTGCTGGCTTTGTGTGGCTGAGCATGGTGATGCATTGCGCAGTGAGATGAGGGCCATGCCAGTGGTCACGTTTGCTATTGAGCATCTGGAGATTGTCAGGCTATAAACTCCCCATTGCAGTGTAATGGTTCCTTTGAGATAATGGGAAGTTCTGAGGAGACAATGGGGAATTACATCCTCAAATCTTTGGTGTACGCAGAGATGCTGAGCTTATGTAGATGCATTGCAGAATGCACTGTCTTGACAGCATGTTTTGGGGGGACTGGAAATGAGCGTCACCTGTCAAGAATAATGTCCTCTGCATGGTTTCTTTTGTGGCATTTCAATGGAAATGTGTCTTTGTTTGCCACTTGGCCCCTTTGGACTCAGCACAGACAACCTGGACTGTGTATGTGTTTGTTTATGGGCTTCTCTTACATGTGACTTGCAAGCCTCAGCACTAAGCATTTTTAGCTCCTGTTCATTGTTTCCCCCTCAGCTGGCAGCCCTCCCAGCCCTGCAGTCCCCCAATGGAGCCATGGTGACATCTTTCACATCACTCAGCCTTCTTCTTGGGGCTGCTGGAAGTTTCAGCCCTGAGTAATAGGAGTGCTCCCCACAGCTCTGCAATTTGCTCAGTGGAGCCTGTTCTCTTCTAGAGGCTGGCACTGACTTCTTTCTATATTTTTTCATGTGTTCTGTGGAAGACAGATCAGTATTTTTTCAAATCATAGTTACAGACAGAAAGCCATCTGTGACAGTCATTTGGAGAATACGCAACATATAGAGCTCATTGAGCATCTTTTAATAGACTCTGAGTTTTGTTATGAACTAACCTTTCTTTGAAAAGAATAAGAAAGTTTGATGAAGTTTTTTAGTGAACCTTCTCACCATATCATCTATCTGTGCTAGACAATACAGGGGAGCGTCGTGGGGGGCTGAGAAGCTGTCAGTGCAGCGCTGAGTCCTCCCACTGCTGGTTTTGCAGGCAGCAGTCAAGAAAAGGAAAGAGCATGAAGGGAGATGCCGCTCAGTACATGCTCACTCACTGCTGCTCTTTTTTGCTCTCCTTATTTTTCCTTGTGTTATGTAAGCTTGTTGCCCACGTCACTTGAATTAATGCACATTTATGGTGCTTAGTTGTGAACAGGAAAATACAGTTTTAGATCAAAGAGTAGCTAATGAATAAGAAGCACTTAGTCAACAGTCGCTGATTGCAGTAATTATTTATGTACGCGTGTGCAGTCACCAACAGACAAAATCATAGTATCAATACAAATTGCAGTGCTGCATACAGTAGCATCCAGTGTGACTTCAGCCTTTGCTTTCCCCTGTGATTCATTGCTTTTTCCCTAGGACATATGGAGAGAGTCCATTGCAACCCGTTTCTTTGCAAGGAGTCATCAGTTTTGTTCGTATAAGGAACAAAGGAATGTAGAGGGCTCCACTTTGGAGGAGGGACTCTTTCGTCTGCAAGTTGGATGAAGATTCTATTTCCTAACTGAAAAAAAGGTCATCATCTTTTAAAGGTCATCATTTCTTTAAAGGTAGTAAGCAAAAAAAAAAAGAAGAAGGAAGGAAGGAGGGAAGGAAGGAAGGAAGGAAGGAAGGAAGGAAGGAAGGAAGGAAGGAAGGAAGGAAAGGAGGAAGGAAGGAAAGGAGGAAGGAAGGAAAGGAGGAAGGAAGGAAGGAAGGAAGGAAAAGGAAAGAAAAAAGGAAGGGAGGAAGGAAGGAAGGAAGGAAGAAAGGAAAGAAGGAAGGAAAAGGAAGGAAGGAAGGAAGGAAGGAAGGAAGGAAGGAAGGAAGGAAGGAAGGAAGGAAGGAGGAAGGAAAAGGAAAGAAAAAAGGAAGGAAGGAAGGAAGGGAGGAAGGAAGGAAGAGATGCAGTACTTCATATGTTTCTAGGACAATTTCTAGGACTAAATTAAGCAATAAATAAATAAATAAATAAATAAAAGTAAGCTAGTAAAAACCTAATTCAGTCTACTTTGAGCCAGCATCAAACTTCTTATTCTCCCAAACCACAGCTTGAAGTAACATAAACCTGTTTTCTTCTAATACACAGGCAAATAAAATGATAGAATTATGCTTATCGGATAGGGTAATTTTGGCAGCACTGACTTCTGCCAGGCTGGGAATATCATTTAGTGGTGCATACATCAGATATATAATCAATGTAACCTGGTATCTGTTGGCTGAAGCCACCTTCTTGGAGCTTATGAGAATGTACATTTGTCTGTTGAGCCCCTTAACCTCTGCAGAAGCAGACAGGACTGTTCTATCACACCTAAAATCTCTTGCATCTCAGCTGCTGCCTCCAGCAGTAGGTTTAGGTGTGGTAGCAGTTTGTGCACTTTGGAGATCTTCCTGCTTTGAGAAATGAGTATTCCAATTGATTGCATGGAGTTAGGTCTCTTTTTATGGTTTTCCACCTTATAAGATTGCCTTCCCCTTAATGCATCTTGGTTACCCTTCTTGAAACCCTCAATCACTGCTGGAATCGGGAAGGAAAAAGGTTGGAGGAAGCATGAAACAAGTCAGCTCTTCCATCTGAGCTGCTACTGCTGCCTGCAGATGGCACAAGCCTGTGCTGTACCCAACCAAGCAGCACCCCTTGCTGCTCCTTCCCAGTGTGGGGCAGCTGCTCCTGGACCTGCCAGAGTGCCTCCTACATAACCCTTCCAATAGTATCTGTGCTTTCTTATCTTGAGGAGTTGAGAATGGTTGGATTTAAGTTTTTTCAAGCATTCACCGATAATATGGTGATTGAATTGATTTTTACATAGCATTCTTCTGAAGGGGATGCCACTCTTCAGCCTAAGGAATTATGAAATATAACTGTGGAGACTTTCCTATACTTCTCTTTGTTCAGCCTGTGCCGAGCAGCAGCTCAGAGCTTTCATAGTCTGCTATGGAGCAGCTTCCTTTCAGTCCTCATTTGTTATGGCTTGGCAAGAGCTCGAAGCAATCCTCTTCATAGGATTTAAATGGTTAGGGTAAACATTAACAGACTAAGATATTTGTTGCTTACACTTGGCAATGGTATACTAAGGAAAGTAGAGCTCTCATTGATTTTTTCCCCTACACTTATTCAAAATGAAGGAAAAAAAAAAAAGGGAGGTTTGTTTTTACTGCACTCTTCAGGGATCTTGAGTCACTGTTGATGGAACTTTTTTGAGGTCCACAGATTCCTTTTCCTATTTCTGTGGCAGT